GTTTTCATATCTTTCACCTGGGGTTGATCAGTCATGTGCTTTGAACCTTTTCTTTTTGGATGTATCAGTCAAGTGGTTTGAACCCTTTCTCCTGTAGTATGTCCGCCCAGTGTTTTCATATCTTTCTCCTGGGGTATATCCGCCCAGTGTTTTCATATCTTTCTCCTGTAGTATGTCCGCCCAGTGTTTTCATATCTTTCTCCTGTAGTATGTCCGCCCAGTGTTTTCATATCTTTCTCCTGTAGTATGTTCGCCCAGTGTTTTCATATCTTTCTCCTGTAGTATGTCCGCCCAGTGTTTTCATATCTTTCTCCTGTAGTATGTTCGCCCAGTGTTTTCATATCTTTCTCCTGTAGTATGTCCGCCCAGTGTTTTCATATCTTTCTCCTGTAGTATGTTCGCCCAGTGTTTTCATATCTTTCTCCTGTAGTATGTCCGCCCAGTGTTTTCATATCTTTCTCCTGTAGTATGTTCGCCCAGTGTTTTCATATCTTTCTCCTGTAGTATGTCCGCCCAGTGTTTTCATATCTTTCTCCTGTAGTATATCCGCCCAGTGTTTTCATATCTTTCTCCTGTAGTATGTCCGCCCAGTGTTTTCATATCTTTCTCCTGTAGTATGTTCGCCCAGTGTTTTCATATCTTTCTCCTGTAGTATGTCCGCCCAGTGTTTTCATATCTTTCTCCTGTAGTATATCCGCCCAGTGTTTTCATATCTTTCTCCTGTAGTATGTTCGCCCAGTGTTTTCATATCTTTCTCCTGTAGTATGTCCGCCCAGTGTTTTCATATCTTTCTCCTGTAGTATATCCGCCCAGTGTTTTCATATCTTTCTCCTGTAGTATGTTCGCCCAGTGTTTTCATATCTTTCTCCTGTAGTATGTCCGCCCAGTGTTTTCATATCTTTCTCCTGTAGTATGTTCGCCCAGTGTTTTCATATCTTTCTCCTGTAGTATGTCCGCCCAGTGTTTTCATATCTTTCTCCTGTAGTATGTTCGCCCATTGTTTTCCGCCCCTTTTCCTGGGGTGGATCAGTTCAACACTTCTTCCTGGTATACATTGTAGTCATTATACATTACTGACGTGATTGTAGTGAAGGCATATGTTCCAGCGTTTCCAAAATATATCTGGACCTGCTCTAAGTAACAGAAGATGGTTAGGAGTCAGAGGTTCAGCATCTTTGTGATCATCTGATACCACTGTGATTGGTCGGCCATTCACAATCGACTCAATCTCGCAAAAGAGAGTATGAAGTCCTTCATCATCCAGTGGACGGTTCGTCTTCAACAAAGCATTCATGACTTTACGAACTGTCCTTATGAGTCTCTCCCAAGCACCTCCCATGTGAGAAGCTGCAGGAGGGTTAAACATCCAACAGATTTCTTTTTTGCTCATGAACTCTCCAATTCTCTTCAAATTCCAGGAATCAATAGCTCGTGTCAATTCAATTTCTGCACCACGGAAATCTGTTCTAGTGTCTGATGCATCCATAACGTTTGACCACAGACCGGCCCCGTTTCACCATAAATGGCCCAAAGCAGTCCAACCTGACACTGGTGAATGGTGGATCTCCTGGAGTCACTCTGCTTGTCTCTAGGCAGGTCCGCCATCCCTTGGTTACTCGGCGACTTCTGTCGTCTTTTTCGGTATCCAGAATCTTTGTCTGAATCTTTATCCCTTGGCAGTATCATATTGTGCTGGCTCTCAACAGGTACGGGTGCTGCTTGCAGCCTTCCACCAACAACCAAGACACCCTCTGGAATAAAGATTGGTTCCAGTCGATAAATGATACAACTTCACATGCCTTGAACTCCTGTACATATGTGTCCTCTGTGACACTTGAACTCCTGTACATATGTGTCCTCTGTGACACTTGAACTCCTGTACATATGTGTCCTCTGTGGCACTTGAACTCCTGTACATATGTGTCCTCTGTGACACTTGAACTCCTGTACATATGTGTCCTCTGTGACACTTGAACTCCTGTACATATGTGTCCTCTGTGACACTTGAACTCCTGTACATATGTGTCCTCTGTGACACTTGAACTCCTGTACATATGTGTCCTCTGTGACACTTGAACTCCTGTACATATGTGTCCTCTGTGACACTTGAACTCCTGTACATATGTGTCCTCTGTGACACTTGAACTATCGCAGTCTCAGCATTCTTCAGCTCCAATACACTGAGCACACTATCCAGCAATTTAGATTGTGTTTTCTTGTGAGTCTAATTATAGAGAATTCTTTTTAATTTCAGGATCCATGCTACAGCTCGTTTTAAGCTGTGCCACGAAGAGTATGTTTCAAACACGTCCACAGCTATTTACCTTTAATAACAATCGCGGAACTTTCTTGAACTAAATTGTAGGTTTCAAAGTAAAACTAACCCATCATAGTCTGCATTTTCTCATACACTGCTTTAGTCTGTGACATGATGTATACAAACAGTCAATGTTCTAGGCATACCATACGAAGCAGTAACTTCTTTCAGTGGCATTTAGAAGTTGGTGTGATGAAGAAAGACGAGTTCTATGGATGAACAACTTCTTTATTACAATGAGTGCGACGTTTCGGTGTAGATCCTAACACCTTTATATTTAGCAAGTGATAGGTATATATACCTATGTTGTTCAGCACTATCCATCACTTGCTTGATAAAGGTGTTAGGGTCTACACCGAAACGTCGCACTAATTGTAATAAAGAGGTTGTTCATCCATAGAACTTGTCTTTCTTCATACGAAGCAGGTTCAAGCTGAAACCACACAAAACTACAAACTTAAATGCATGTCCTCATGTACGAAACACAGCCAGCTTGTCACAAAACAAACTCACTCCGTGATAATAACAAAAACACGGTAAATACGGTAATAATATGGACACATCACAACACGGTGGTAACTCTCAAATAATTCTGGCTTAAAACGAACAATGGATTAAATTACACTCCTTTCATAAATAAATATATGATGCAGGCATATGCCATGTATTACTTACACATTTTGTGGCGGGATCATACAGCCGTACATCAGTTTATCACTCACGGCGATGCACACTTTCAAATACATACATACATACACACACACACACACACACACACACACACACATACACACACACACATGCGTTGATATACATACTTCCGGTGTAGAATAGGTCTTCAACAACCCATGCTTGCCGTTAAAGGTGACTATGCTTGTCGTAAAAGGCGACTAACGGGATCGGGTTTAGAATATAGCTGTAAGCATGCATTATAAGAACGTGCGAATGAAGGCGTGCTCCAACCCCATGTGTCTGAAGTCTGCCAACAACCCTGAAGCCAGTGGCATCTCACTCTCAATGACACACAGGTGCTAGCCAGCCACATCTCACACTTCGGGGAAACGTGTGTAAAGGTCACGACTGCTGAGAACACGAATGCCCATGAGCTAACCCCGTCAGACTCGCGGAGGAAACTCGTGTCAGGAACCGTTTTGCATTGTAAGCTTTTGGCTTTTTGACGTTGGCTAAAAACGAAGAAACATAATGGCGATTCGACGGTGAAGCAGACACCGAACACTCCGTCTTGTAACGTTTTGATCACGATTGTAATTTCTTGGTCAAGTCCAATTCTCAAATGCATACTTTCTTTTGCCCGTCAGTTAATTAACAACCAGTTGGGGAGTGTATGCACACCTTGGTCGCAACAGATGAAATTTTCTTGCTCTCAAAATTAAAATACAAACATTAAATATCCTTAGTATGATATTCAGAACGGATGGCATCAAAGTTCACATTGAAAGCGGTACATTACGGAACATGTTTAGAAAGATAGTATATACTTTGTCTTTGATTGATGAAAATTGCTCAACTGTGTTCGTGTAAAGAACAACACCAATTCCAGATAACCTGTACATTTGAATATTGTATGAATTCGCTTTGAAGCAGTTTCTAACTGACTGCATCACCAGTCCGAGGTCATCACTGGTTGTAGCCAGTGTCCCTTTGGCGAGGCATCTGTTTGTACTTGAAGAAACCAAATGTTGTTCAAGAGAATGACATCAAGCAGGGAGTCTAATGTCTTGGTCGACTCCCTGCATCTAGAAAGGGAAAGCCTGAAAACATGACATAAGATAGCTTGAGGTATGAGGGGCGGTCGGGTAGCCTAGTGGTTAAAGCGTTCGATTGTCACGCCGAAGACCCGGGTTCGATTCTCGACATGGGTACAATGTGTGAAGCCCATTTCTGGTCTCCCCCGCCGTGATATTATAGGAATATTGCTAAAAGCGGAGTAAAATCAAACTCACTCATCCACGGTCGTAATGACTCATAAAAATTTACCCATAAAAACAAAACTGTGTGCACCCTCTCTTAATGAAACAAGTTAGTTACAAAAACTACAGATCTGATTCAGGTCTAGTTCAACGGATATGTTACCAAACAAACACTTGCATAACAAAACTGATTCTGTTGATATACTGATTTCATTGCAGCCCGGGGGGGGGGGGGGGGGGGGCACGGTGGCCCAGTCGACTAAAACGCCGCGATTCGCTGTGCAGAGCTGCGTCCCTTAGGCACGCCAGAAAAATGTGATCGTGGGTTCGAATCCCGGTTCGCGCCGATTAAGTTTCTAGGTTTGTCAGCACCATACCCGTGCTCGTGGGTTTCACCGGAGTGGTAAACGTCTGATATCTGTGTCATAGTTGTAAAATTGGTAATTTTTTCCTCAATATTTATATAATAGCTAACTGTGGTAATAGTCTTTATTGTGTTATATTAAGTTAAATGTAAGGTGCTGTATTCAATCAGTCTCACATGTAAAGGTCGCAGCTATCTAGAAAATTACATAACATCCTTGGAGCATGGTCAGTATTATCTACCTGTACGTGTCTCAGCCTCCATCGCAATGACCGCTTGCCATACGTTTGCTGATACGTCCAACTCATATCAATATTTTCGGACTACTTCATCAATTATTATTCAACTTATGTGGACATCACTTGGTCAAACTTCTTAGGATGCCTTAATCCCTATTCTCGGCGCACGAACTCAAATTTTCTTATCAAGCTGATAATTGAACATGCAGTAAATTCGTGACCATTCAAGGTGTCTAGAGTATATATACTGGCTAGCCCCGGGGGTACCTCACTGTCGAGAAATCCCCAATAAAGGAGCTGGCCATAGACATTTTGTTTGGTTTCTTTGAAGGTAAGTCATGTTCACTTAACTATTTCTCTAAATTTATAAGTTAAATTGTTTTATAATTTGTATCGTATGTGGAGCAATATTATCAGCTGTAAAGATATTTAATCTTATGTTATTGACCATGTTTAAGAGCAAATATATTAAGTGGGTTATATCTATTTAACGGACTTATCTGTCAAATGTATGTGCGTTAGGTTTAGACAAAACTATCGTTTAAGTATTAACTCCACGGTATAGCATATATTGAATATCAAACATGTTCCGAGTCGGAAATAAGATGTTAACACTCGGGTGTCGTGGTAGCAAGCTGTGTATTTTATCTGCGTGTTGATATTTTAGTGTGATTCAGTTATTTTGTATATGTGAAAACGTCCTGTAAATGCAGACGAACTATTTCACTTTGATCAGACTTTTTATATCACACGAGGTATGTACATTATCTTTTAATGTAAGGATTCTATGATGAACCATACATTGCATGTATTACTTGTTCATAAACAGAATCCAGACTGTTTTAAATAATGTTTTATTAGAGTTATTTGATGGAACTAGCCTGGCAGAAAACGTTAATTTCTATAGCTAATATGTGATGTATTTACATCACACATATTTATGCTAATAGCACAACTAAGCCAGAGCTCAAATCAGTAATAATATCCATGTAATCATTTAGTTAATCTGTTAGCGATGTACAAATAAGATAGGTAACTCTCTTGTACTTACATAGGTCTGAGCATAATGCATTTGTAACACAGCTTCAGCAAACATGTCTACATTACGAGCAATGCCTAAAATGTACATATATCCATATATTATACCATTCAGTAATGTGAATGGACATTTGTTAATGGGCCCGTTAACTCGGTGTATGTGAATGCTATCAGATATAGTTTGTTTGCTGCGGTAGTTTAGATAAATGATAGATATGGCCTTCAAGTATTACATATACCAGCATAAAACAATGAATGATATATGCTCAGAAGTTACAGCCAACGCATGTTGTTATTTATATTTAAATCTGCGTACATTCGATACCGATATTGGGTTTAACTAGGTTTATACGTATATAAGATATACCTTATGGCAGTCCCATTTAGCAAGGCGTAATCCTAATTAGGAGTGGCTGAAAATAAGTATCACATAAGATTATGTAAGCTTTGTTCACAGGTATCTTTGTAGACTGACTTTAATATTGTTATTTGTAATTGGTTGTTTTATAACTTAGCCCATAATACATTTGTATATCATGAAATTTACACTCTTATATATAATCGTTGTTTAATATCACGCACTGCTGTGATAACTGCTTCGTTTATGGAAACTGTAAATGTTCTATATGACTTTGTACTTTATATGTAAAAATATTTCTTATTTTAAATGTGACTGACTGTCGAGAAATTCCCAATAAAGGAGCTGGCCATAGACACTTTGTTTGGTTTCTTTGAAGGTGGTGCCCGATCCCGAGCTAATTCCCCAAGGCTAATTCTAGATATTGTGACGATTTGAATACGAAAGTGTCAAACCATCATATCTGCATCACCTCGGGCTTTCCTCCCACATTAAGCTTACACGCCGTGATATAACTGGAATACTGTTAAAAGCGGCGTTAAACCCAACTTACTAACTCACTCATTGTTGCCCACGATGATTTTTGAAGCGTCCTCGCAACGTAATTAAAATGTTGATACACTGATATCCCTTGACCAGATCATCACAAAAGTGTCAAATTTGGAAACCGGGATGCAGGGTTACGAGACGAGGTAAAGAGCTGAACTGACCTGTTTCAGGTCAAAGACTCTCGTTCGCTGATGTCGAGCTGTGATACGCGTATTTAAATACAAGATTAACTGAGCAGGTGTTATGTTCTGACGTCAGCGAACCTCCGTAACGGTATTATTTTGTCTGGAACGCCGAATTTGAAGAAAATAGTTTGTGTAATATTTAGATTTTACCTGTGATCATTTATGTAATACCGATGCTTTAATTGATTAGTGACTGCATGACTATGGTTTTACGCCGCCTTTAGCAATATTCTAGCAATAACACGGCGGGGGACACCATAAATGGGCTTCGCACATTGTACCCATGGCGGGAATCGAACCCGGGTCTTCGGCGTGACGAGCGAACACTTTAACCACTAGGCTACCCGACCGACCCCTTTAAATAATCAATAACCTGCAATTCTGTTCAAGTTTATTATGAGAATATCCACCCATACTTGATGACGAAGAATAAGTGTGGTAGATAGCGGTGTCGTTTGTTATTTAATAAGACGATGATTGTTTATATGGAAACGTTCGGCTCGTTATAGTGAAATAATTAGAGCTGTTTTTAATTGTTTATTGAGAAATATTCTTTTCAGCATTGCAGTTTATTTTTACATAAATAATTCCCATGTCTGACATAGATTAATATCTGTTACACGCGTCTTTTGCAGACACACGCGAACGTACATCGATCTCCTCGCACAGGATCCAGGGTGAAACTAGAGCCGATGTTCACTAAACATCCATCCACAGCTGCTGTGGTTACATTATATCATGTACCATGGTGGGATATTAATATCAATTGCTATCTTTGTCTACGCATGTGGAAAATCCACCCTTAAGTCACTCAGAATCAGATTAGCACAGAAACAGGAAATTTATTGCTGAAATTTGTGTAGCTCTATTAATTGATTTTGAATTTGAAAACAGGTTATACAAGTATCCGTCAATTCCCAATTAACTTTAATACATCGCCGACACAGACACAAATAGATAGATACATATATCATTTAGTATAGAATGTGTAGTTCCTTTGCTAGCATAGTTATACTCGTGCTAACAAACCGAGGGAACCAAACAACAGATACCAATGATTGAAATAAATCAATAAGTTATGCTGTCTTGTAAACCCCATGCGCTTATGTCTACTGATGCTCATTGTGGTGATCGATATTAGCGAAATCATCATGTGATTTTGTAGCATTTATAATTCTTATACTTTACGTAAACGAATAAATGTCAATGATGTTAAGCAAGCAAGCTTTCTGTAAAATATGTGTTCTTTACAATTGACGTCAAGCACGACTGGTGACCTTGAACCACGTGTGACCTGTAACCCATGTTGCGCACATAGCCGGAAGCCGGCAACTGCTCAAACAACTGTATCGAGCGAGTCGCTGAACGAAGGGACACGTAACCAATTCAACTGTCATCTTGTTCTTACCTCCACAGACATTAAACGGACATGGCATGTGAAATCCCAACCGTGGAAAGTACTCTGAAGCAAGCGGCTGCAGTTTTCAGAGATAAATTTGGCAGTGATCCGAATTTAGCAGCATGCGCGCCTGGTCGAGTGAATCTGATCGGCGAACATACGGATTATAACGAAGGGTTTGTGTTCCCAATGGTAAGTGAACATGCATCTCATACAATGTTCATGTAGAAGTCGTACATATGGGAAATGTCAATAACAGCTTTGAAAACAGTGGTGTTTATTTTTATATTCGACATTCATGTTAAAACACGATAGTTATTTTTGTCCGCTGAGCGAGTTCAGCTTGGTTTTCGTCAAGAATCCTGGTTTATAATAATATTTGTTTGAGCCCGACCGCCACGATTTATGTTGTCTCTGCTTGGCTGCTCAAGCGTTGTGTTGGCCTATATACATAGATACATTCTGATTGTAGGAGGGTAAATACACGGACCTAAATATTCTGATCCGTGGTAAATATTATAATCATGAACAAAGCGAAGTCTAATTAAACGAAAAGCACGCTTTGTAAGTAATATAGCCAGAATGTAGATCAGGAGAAATATTTGAGATACGGTTGCCAGTTGTACTTTATCATTGCGAGCCTCGAGCTAACCGCTAATGCTACATAAGCTGGGGTGCGTGCTGGACATGAGAATAAAAAGATGAATGACATTGTGATACACAACCCGAGCGAGGTCGGTCACATGCAGGGTATCTTCCGGAACATTATTGTTCGCTGACATTCACAAGCGGCTTATATATTAATACCGCTACTAGGTGCAGTATACCCAACCCTGTCATGCGTCCGATGTAATTCATGAAACGTCAGTCAACATGAACTGATTCAACTCGAGAAGGCGATCTCTCGCGCATAGTCCTGATGATGCAATGCAGACGATTCAACTCGTCAGTGATTGGCTCATATTTACACACCTTAAAAGCTGATTGGCTGATCGCCTCTCGTTCGTGACACACCAACAAAAACAAGACGCGGCAGTGTGCACGCATGATTTACTGGACTTGCGTAGTCTTTGAACACCCCACCCTCCGACAGCGTCACATGTTTGGGGGGTAACCGTCAGCGTCGTACCTGGGTTTTACCTTAACTATTGAACTTGAGGGCAAGATTCCCCTAGAAGAAAACTTTAACACGTTATGATTCCCTTAACCTTTTTATGATAAATGAGGAGAAAACTATTATACACTAGAGCATCGAGGATGGATCCCTTTTGCCCATTAATTGTAACAAGGGGTTTATGCAAGAATTATATATAGACTTAATATATATATATATATATATATATATATATATATATATATATATATATATATACACACACACACACACACACACAAAATAAAAATAAATAAATCCAAATGGAGCCAACTTAATTTTGGAGCTGAGGCAATCGAGATTTGCCAAATCATTCTGGACTTGAGTTGATCTCATCTTTCATTTTTTTTCCTGGGTCTGGGAGACACTATAGTGACGCAGGCATTGGTGATATCATCGAGGCTGCAAACCCCCCTTTTGTTTCGCGGGATTCGTTGGTCTATTGAGAGGGTATTCCCGTTACTCAGCGGTGGAGTATGCGGGGCGCAGATAAGATCGTATTTGGCACTCAGATTCAACATAAGAAAAACATAATGGTGAAGGAGACGGTTTCCTTTTTATATAATATACTATATTTCGGTATTGTTTCAGCAATTTAACTTCAAAGTGCACCATTTTCGAAATGCTTTTGAGGATTGTGTTCAGTAGTATATTCGAGATTCAAGAGTGAACAATTATATATAGGGGTATTCGGGATTCAAGAGTGAACAATTATATATAGGGGTATTCGGGATTCAACGGGCTGGGTGTGTTGGCACCCTCATAGCGAATACACTGAGTAGGGTAACAGCCTATAACATTCCCCACGTTTTCAGTCAGACAACCGGACTGGCAACAAAGTTATCAGACCAAATAATATGTTGCCAGTCCAGAATTTTCTAGACCAACGAACAAAATTAACAAAAGGTTTAAGAATAGTACTGTTTTATGTTAATTCTCAGAAAATAACAATAAACTGCTGGAATGTCAACTCCCGACTCTATGCAACCTCTCAAAACTGAACGACTGTCAACCAAAAAGACGGTTATGTGTATGTTGCCGGTATTTATTTCAATGACGTGGACTATTCTACAGTTATAATCATAAGTGTGTATGCATGCCTATCGACTGGAACACGTCATGCATGGTAGTAGAGTATGTCACGGATTGACGTGTCTCATATCATCCAGACAGCCGGAGCGGTCGGGTAGCCTAGTGGTTAAAGCGTTCGCTCGTCACGCCGAAGACCCGGGTTCGATTCCCGACATGGGCACAATGTGTGAAGCCCATTTCTGGTGTCCCCCGCCGTGATACTGCTGGAATATTGCTAAAAGCGGCGTAAAATCATACTCACTTTCTCACTCCAGACAGCCGCTTCTTATACTGGCGTAACATTATCAACAGTGTATAGAGCCCCAATAACAAAAAAATACGTGTCTAGCATCATCCAGACATCCTCTACATGTATAGGTGTAACATTATCTACAGTCTCAAACTTTCCCCCGCATACTATTGTTCTGTATCCACTTCCGGACCGCCTCCGTGGTCTAGAGGTAGAGCGTCCGCACGGAGAGCGGAAGGTCCGGGGTTCGATCCCCGGCCGCGTCATACCAAAAGACGTTAAAAGATGGTACTTGTTGTTACCCTGTCTGGCGCTCGGCATAAAGGGGCTAAAACAAGGACTGGTCGGTTCGGAGTCAGTGTACTGTGTCTGAGTGGGGTATTCATGTTAAACTGCGGCATGGTATCTCAGTGAGCTAGCACTATAAATCGGCATCAGTCCGGACTAGTACAAGCAGCCACACAAACACACACACGTACATGCATGCATTATATAAGTGCAATAATCTTGGACGCGACGTTAAACACCATTTCACCTCACCTGTATCCACTTCCATTATCACGGTTATTCGTGGCATCTGTGCCGGTATAAAATGCCACGGTGACCACGCATTGTACATTATACATTCACAAGGGAGGAATGGGTGCATCAGTGTCAACCTCTGTGTATGTGTGAGAGTACATGTATCACATTCCACAGGTATTTGTTGCAATATATTCCATGAAAGACCAGATGCAGTGTACACTACAGCTACAGTGTACATCTACACAAACACGGGATACATGAATGACAAGTATAGCGCGAAAATAAAAGAAGTCTTGAAATTAAATGATGGATATGTTTATTTATGATGATGTATTGGTTGAAATTGTAAATTATATGAAAACACATGGGGTTGAGATGATATCATTATTAGCGATCATAAAGTTGAACAGACAATCTTCACCTAAGTACTTTATTAACTAATTCATCATATAGTATCTTTCTTTCTTTGCTATATGTTTTATAAAATGAATTAGATGCGTTTCATCGTCTACTGACGGGCATGTTGAGCAGTTTTGTGTGTCTGTGTTAGGTTTATGGTCACCAAGTTTAACTAAGAAAAATACACACGATATTTTGTTGTGTTTCAGTAGTGAGGATATTGTCCTAACTTGATAGCACATATAAGACAGCAGCGGCCTGTATGTGGTAGAGTCTGGACCGACAAACCAGTAATATCCTGGGCAACGCCCCATATCGTCGGGGTCCGAGGAATCGGATTCATTCGGATCACAGAGTCTGACCACCCGAACTGTGTGCATGTGCGTGCGTGCGGGCGTGCGTGCATATTTATATGTTTCTTTTTTCACGAACTATCATTCCTTGTTGCAGGCGTTGCCAATGGTAACAGTGGTGGTCGGAAGCAAGAGTGATGCCGGTAAATGCCGGGTATTGACGAAGGCTGACGGAGTTGATGCTCCGCATTTCATAGAATTCCTTCCCCATTCTGAGACAACCCCCCTCTCCCCCGGAACTCCCAAATGGGCGAACTATTTCAAAGGAGTCATTGCCAACTTCCCAGGTTTGTTATGGACTTACACTATATTCTTAAGTATTGTGTAAACATACATATTAATGAGGAAACGCACAAGATAGATAGATAGATAGATAGATAGATAGATAGATAGAGCTTCGGTTTCTTTTAATCCCTATTATTTCCAGTCACTGGATGATGAAATAGAGTATGAAAGTGTTTGGAATTCGTTATCATGATATAATAAATGGGAAAAATAATACTTAAATGGCTGAAGTATTTTTACGTTTTGTAAATTGCCCAAGTGAAAATTTCAGTCATTTTACACATTGACTGTGTATTGACCTGTATATAGTTTATCGCTGAATTGAATTTGAAACCTGACGTAAAGAGTGATTAATACCCACCTGGAGCAGTCACATGTTCTGACCTCTACAATCACAAGTCGGCCATGATTCAACTACTGGCACGTTGCAGCCATGACTTCCCTTGAAATGGGTAGACTCACAGATAGGTGATGTAGTTTGCCTGGTTGAAAGAACAAAGCCAAAATATAAAAATACATTTCTTTGGTCATGGAAATATTATACCTTAACTTTAACTGTGGTTGCAGTGATGTTGATACCAGATTTAACCAAAGCTAGACATTCTTATTGACAGTCTCCTTGATCCAGCATCGCACTGGACACACGGCTGTGAAGACTGAATCATCCATTGTTATATCAATAATATAAGACATGAAAAACGCTAATTATCACGTTTAGATGAAATGTTTATGTCGTGGTGCAGGCTCCGAGAAAAAATAAATATATCATTAGGGGAGAATACAGTTACATTCGCCTGGGTGATATCAGTGGATTTTTTTATCAAGTGTTATGCAGAAATAAACTATAAAAATATATATATTACATTGAAAGTTGTGTGGAAAATATGGCCGTCAGCCCGCCCTGTCTGTGTGAGACGGCAGTTATGGGACTGTGTCTGTCAGGAGAGTTATGTAAAATTGAGTGACAACGTTAATGCCAGAATACCTAAGCATAACTAGCGTGAGATAGGTAACATCATGAGGCACTGGAAAAAAATATTAGTCTTTAATTGATATCACACCTATAGACGGGGCGAGAATATGAAATGTATACTCTCATTTAGGATTTCGTGTTGACACGGCGGTGGAACATACTAGGTGCCTGGCTTGGAATATCCCTCTCGGGCCGGTAATATGACTATTAGCATACTCGACGTGCAGAACGTGAGTCAACACAGCCGGTCATGACTGCTGCTCTGTGTTTGGGTAATGATCTCCGGGAGAGCTGTACATACAAGCCTCAAGTCGTACTGACATTGTGTGACACTGTGTGACATACCTGGTGGTGTAGTGTGACACTGTGTGACATACCTGGTGGTGTAGTGGCACTGTGTGACACACCTGGTCGTGTAGTGACACTGTGTGACATACCTGGTCATGTTGTGGCACTGTGTGACACCTGGTCGTGAAGTGACACTGTGTGACATACCTGGTGGTGTAGTGGCACTGTGTGACACACCTGGTCGTGTAGTGACACTGTGTGACATACCTGGTCATGTTGTGGCACTGTGTGACACACCTGGTCGTGTAGTGTGACACTGTATGACATACCTGGTCGTGTAGTGTGACACTGTGTGACATACCTGGTGGTGTAGTGGCACTCTGTGTGACACAACTGGTCGTGGAGTGACACTGTGTGACATACCTGGTCGTGTTGTGGCACTGTGTGACACACCTGGTCGTGTAGTGTGACACTGTATGGCATACCTGGTCGTGTAGTGTGACACTGTTTGACATACCTGGTCGTGTAGTGTGACACTGTATAACATACCTGATCGTGTACTGTGACACTGTGTGACACACCTAGTCGTGTATTGAGACACTGTATGACATACCTAGTCGTGTAGTGACATTGTGTGATATACCTGGTCGTGTAGTGACACTGTGTGACATACCTGCCGGTGTAGTGTGACACTGTGTGACACGCCTGGTCGTGTAGTGTGACACTGAATGACATACCTGGTCGTTTAGTGGCACTGTGTGACACACCTGCTGGTGTAGTGTGACACTCTGTGACACACTGGGTCGTGTAGTGTGACACTGTATGGCATACCTGGTCGTGTAGTGACACTGTGTGATATACCTACTGGTGTAGTGTGACACTGTGTGACACACCTGGTCGTGTAGTGTGACACTGTGTGACATACCTGACCGTCTAGTGACACTGTGTGGCATACCTGCTGGTGTAGTGTGACACTGTGTGACATACCTGGTCGTTTAGTGTGATACTGTATGACATACCTGGTCGGGTAGTGACACTGTGTGACATACCTGCTAGTGTAGTGTGACACTGTGTGACATACCTGGTCGTGTAGTGTGGCACTATGTGACATACCTGGTCATGCAGTGACACTGCATGACATGCCTGGTCGTGTAGTGTGACACTGTATGGCATACCTGGTCGTGTAGTGTGACACTGTTTGACATACCTGGTCGTGTAGTGTGACACTGTATAACATACCTGATCGTGTACTGTGACACTGTGTGACACACCTAGTCGTGTATTGAGACACTGTATGACATACCTAGTCGTGTAGTGACATTGTGTGATATACCTGGTCGTGTAGTGACACTGTGTGACATACCTGCCGGTGTAGTGTGACACTGTGTGACACGCCTGGTCGTGTAGTGTGACACTGAATGACATACCTGGTCGTTTAGTGGCACTGTGTGACACACCTGCTGGTGTAGTGTGACACTCTGTGACACACTGGGTCGTGTAGTGTGACACTGTATGGCATACCTGGTCGTGTAGTGACACTGTGTGACATACCTACTGGTGTAGTGTGACACTGTGTGACACACCTGGTCGTGTAGTGTGACACTGTGTGACATACCTGACCGTCTAGTGACACTGTGTGGCATACCTGCTGGTGTAGTGTGACACTGTGTGACATACCTGGTCGTTTAGTGTGATACTGTATGACATACCTGGTCGGGTAGTGACACTGTGTGACATACCTGCTAGTGTAGTGTGACACTGTGTGACATACCTGGTCGTGTAGTGACACTGCATGACATGCCTGGTCGTGTAGTGACACTTTGTGACATACCTGGTCGTGTAGTGTGACACAGCTGGTCGTGTTGTAACACTGTGTGACTTACCTGGTCGTGTAGTGTGACACTGCTTGACATACCTGGTCGTGTAGTGTGGCACTATGTGACATACCTGGTCATGCAGTGACACTGCATGACATGCCTGGTCGTGTAGTGACACTGTGTGACATACCTGGTCGTGTAGTGTGACACTGTTTGACATACCTGGTCGTTTAGTGGCACTGTGTGACACACCTGCTGGTGTAGTGTGACACTGTGTGAAACACCTGGTCGTGTAGTGTGACACTGTATGGCATACCTGGTCGTGTAGTGACACTGTGTGACATACCTGGTCGTGTAGTGACATTGTGTGACATACCTGCTGGTGTAGTGTGACACTGTGTGACACACCTGGTCGTTTAGTGTGACACTGTGTGACATACCTGCTAGTGAAGTGTGACACTGTGTGACATACTTGGTCGTGTAGTGTGGCAATATGTGACATACCTGGTCATGCAGTGACACTGCATGACATGCCTGGTCGTGTAGTGACACTTTGTGACATACCTGGTCATGTAGTGACACTGTGTGACATGCCTGGTCGTGTAGTTTGATACAGCTGGTCGTGTTGTAACACTGTATGACTTACCTGGTCGTGTAGTGTGACACTGTGTGACATACCTGGTCAAGTAGTGACACTGTGTGACATACCTGGTCGTGTAGTGACACTGTGTGACATACCTGGTCATGTAGTGACACTGTGTGACATGTCTGGTCATGTAGTGTGATACAGCTGGTCGTGTTGTATCACTGTATGACTTACCTGGTCGTGTAGTGTGACACTTTGTGACATACCAGGTCAAGTAGTGACACTGTGTGACACACATGGTCGTGTAGTGACACTGTGTGACATGCCTGGTCGTGTAGTGACACTGTGTGACATACCTTGTCATGTAGTGACACTGTGTGACATACCTGGTCGTGTAGTGTGATACAGCTGGTCGGGTTGTAACACTGTATGACTTACCTGGTCGTGTAGTGTGACACTGTGTGACATACCTGGTCGTTTAGTGTGGCACTATATGACATACCTGGTCATGTAGTGACACTGCATGACATGCCTGATCGTGTAGTGACACTGTGTGACATACCTGATCATGTAGTGACACTGCATGACACACCTGGTCGTGTTGTGACACTGTCCGACTTACCTGGTCGTGTAGTGTGACATACCTGGTCATGTAGTGACACCGTGTGACACACCTGGTCGTGTAGTGTGACATACCTGGTCGTGTAGTGTGACACTGCATGACATGCCTGGTCGTGTAGTGACAATGTGTGACATACCTGGTCATGTAGTGACACTGCATGACACACCTGGTCGGGTAGTGTGACATAGCTGGTCGTGTTTTGACACTGTGTGACATACCTGGTCGTGTAGTGTGGCACTATGTGACAAACCTGGTCAAGCAGTGACACTGCATGACATGCCTTGTCGTGTAGTGACACTGTGTGACATACCTGGTCATGTAGTGACACTGCATGACACACCTGGTCGTGTAGTGTGACACTGTGTGACATACCTGGTCGTGTAGTGTGACACAGCTGGTCGTGTTGTGACACTGTGTGACTTACCTGGTCGTGAAGTGTGACACTTTGTGACATACCTGGTCAAGTAGTGACACTGTGTGACACACCTCGTCGTGTAGTGTGACACACCTTGTTCAGTTGTGACACTGTGTGACACACCTGCTGGTGTAGTGTGACACACCTGGTCGTGTTGTGACACTGTGTTATTAACCTGGTCGTGTAGTGTGACACTATGTGACATACCTGGTCATGTAGTGACACCGTGTGACACACCTGGTCCTGTAGTTTGACACACCTGGTCGTGTAGTGTGACACTGTGTGACATTCCTGGTCATGTAGTGACACTGTGCAAGTTACCTGGTCGTGTAGTGTGACACAGCTGGTCGTGTTGTAACACTGTGAGATATACCTGGTCGTGTAGTGTGACACTGTGTGACATGCCTGGTCGTGTAGTGTGGCACTATGTGACATACCTGGTCATGTAGTGACACTGCATGACATGCCTGGTCGTGTAGTGACACTGTGTGACATACCTGGTCATGTAGTGACACTGCATGACACACCTGGTCGTATAGTGTGACACTGTGTGACATACCTGGTCATGAAGTGTGACACAGCTGGTCGTGTTGTGACACTGTGTGACTTACCTGGTCGTGTACTGACACTGTGTGACATACCTGGTCATGTAGTGACACTGCATGACACACCTGGTCGTGTAGTGTGACACTGTGTGACATACCTGGTCGTGTAGTGTGACACAGCTGGTCGTGTTGTGACACTGTGTGATTTACCTGGTCGTGTAGTGTGACACTGTGTGACATACCTGGTCATGTAGTGACACTGTGCAACATACTTGGTCGTGTAGTGTGACACACCTGGTCGTGTTGTGACCTGGTATATTAGGTCGAGTACTATCCTATACTTGTTTACTACTACGATTGTTCGCTTAGACACCAATAGCTATCAAACTGACTGTGTTCAAGTCAGACTGCTTGGCGAAACACGCGAGGCCTATCTTTATGCCTGAGTACACTATCGTGTGCATTGATGCAGGGTTTTTCAGATTGATAGATAAGTTTATACAATAATGAGGTCCCAATATTTGTGACCACAAACCACGATGCGCCTCGCCTCCATGACTTCAGTTCGAATTTGATTAATTTCATACATTCTAGCCTAAATAATTCGAAGATGTCGTCTCTGTGAAGCCGGTTTGCAAGGTCAAAGAATAGCTTAGTCTACACCTATATGGGCATACGTCAATACATACGTGTCATGATATTCACATACATTTCGTATCGTTAACATTATCGTACATATCGTAGCGTTATATACCCAGTGATTCCCATCACGGCGGCTCCTACAGTCCAGCCCAGTTCAGGCAGTGACAGCATCATCCATAGCATTGATGCTATGAAACCGTCAGCCGAGTGGCAGCGTCCGATTATCGACCCAAAAATTTGATCGGATCTTACATAATCTACTGGGGACGAATTATGTCACCCCCAAGGTTCCATAGATGACAAGATGTTCAGTTGTAGAGAAATAAATCAAATAGTGCTCAACAATTATTAAGAACCCTCTGACTCATATTCTGCACTTTCGTGTTCAAGCAGGGAAGCAGTTAAAGAGATCTTTGTGTCAAGTTGCGGGGAGGATTCGAAGTCCCGTTTTCACAATAGTGTGTAAAGCGGCATAAAACTTTACTCATTGACCCGTCGACCCGTGAAGATGCGGGTTAGTACTGGTATTTATCAACCCACGCTTTTCGAAAGAGAAGACAAACGGGACTTGGTTGATACATGATGTCAATCACTGGAATGTCTGGTCGAGACTCGATTATTTACAGACCGCCGTCATATGGAATGTACAGTTATGTGTATAGCATCATAGGTATCTTAATGTGGGGAGAATGGCATCATATACGTACAGTACCCTGACTAACATGTTGTCTCTGATATAAAGTTATCTTAAATGTTAAATAAACTATACTAGCCACAAAAAGAAACTGTAGTGTTGAAATTCTTTCTAAATTTGACAATATAACAACAATAAAAAGTTTTCATGTAAACTTTAATTGGTGTATACAAACTGAGATAATAAGAAGACGGCAGAACAGCATATTTAATGTCTATGACATTGACGTCCAAATGCGGGGCAGGGGTCAAGCAACAATGTCACAACCTCAATGACGGGTATGCCTACCGTCATCAGTGATAACAGCAGTGCATCGCCGACGCATGGAGTCAATCAAGTGGGCATGGAAGGCTTGTGGAATGGCTCGCCGTATTCTCTGCAACTCTGCTGCCAAATCACGAACGTTATCTGACGGATTTGGTACACAGCGTAGACGTCGTTCCATTTCATCCCACACATGCTCTATACGGGAGAGATCCGGTGAATTTGTATCCATCTGTCCTGCCTTTGCGTTATGACGCGTGGACGTCCTGCACGTGGGCGATCCTCAACTTCATTATTGTTCTGATAACATCTCAACAGTGCTGAAATGGTGTCTCGGTTGCAATGGAAATGTGCTGCCACCTGACGTTGAGACATTCTCCCACGGACCATGCCAATAGCCTCATGACGTTGTGCAGTGGCATGATGTGCGGTTCATTAGCCGTTTATTTTTTTAAACGATCAAGCGTCAAACAATTAGGCTTCCTTAATCGACAGCAGTCTTAGACACCCATGTGCTCCACGCAGTGTATCGAGATGCACATGCACAAACGTGTTGCACGTGGACCTGCCGAAATCTTTGACGTCATGAAACGTTGCACACGCATATGTGTTCAATTCAATTCACTAATTACTGTGTTTACATCTGTATCTGTGCACACATGTAGTTCCGATATATATTGATGTCCTATCTGCACAGTTTCTCTGTGTGGTTCGTATAACTCCCTAAGGGAACGCTCGAGTATTGATAAACCGTCAAGACCTTCATAGTAATGTCACACGTACATGCACGTCGCTATGTAAGTGCAATAATCTTGGTCGCGACGTTAAACCCATTTCACCTCATAGTAATGTCAGATAATGGGGAGAGTACAGGTTGCAGCTGCTACAGCTCACCTCACCTCACCTCACCTCACCTCACCTCATAGTAATGTCAGATAATGGGGAGAGTACAGGTTGCAGCTGCTACAGCTGACAAGGGATCAGAATGGAATGGGGGTGATTGTGTTATCGGCTATTTGCAGTGAGAGATTAGTATAGAACAAGGCTGACACCCACCCAGCCCCACATTCAGCGCTCGAGTCACATAGTAATGGAGAAACAAGTGTGCGTTCAACGAAAGCGTGTTGCTGTGTTTCAGGTACGGTACCGGCTTTCGACGCCGTGATAGTGTCTACAGTGCCGGTAGGGGGCGGTGTGTCTAGTTCTGCGGCGTTAGAGGTGGCCACGTTCACTTTCCTGCAGCAACTCTGTCCAGACGATGGGCAGAACGTCAAGACCATGCAGAAGGTGTTGGCGTGTCAGAAGGCCGAGCATGACTTCGCCGCCGTGCCATGTGGCATCATGGACCAGTACATATCAACAATGGGCAAGGCGTCACATGCACTTCTGATCGACTGCAGGTTTGTTTGTTTGTTGTTTAACGCCGCACTCAGCAATATTCCAGCTATATGACACCGGTCTGTAAATAATCGAATCTGGACCAGACAATCCAGTTATTGATCTCATGAACACCTATCTACGCAATTGGGATACGATGACATGCATCAACCAAGACAGCGCGCGTGACCACCCGATCCCGTCAGTCGCCTCTTACAACAAGCATGGCAGGTGCAGAGACATCTTCTCTAGGCAGGGGAGTTAACTGACTGTAAAAGTCCAGTTTCCAACCTTGCCGAACAAGGCGGGAATTTCTGGGCTCGATCGAAGCGCCTCAAGTGGCAATTACGAGTTATGTACCTGCTGCTGACCAATCAGATTTGCCCTCTTATATCGCTAGCCTTAGCTTTAAACAAAATGACGGCGCCCAGTCAAGATAATCAAAATCTATGTTGTGATAAAACGTGTCTTACTTAGCGAATTGCATCAAATCAAGTGAGCACCTTGATTAAAAACATGAAGAGATTTGGAAAGTATCAATTGCAATCAATCCTGCAACCGACCGAAATCTGCACGGCAGTTTACGAACCGGATGTCGATTTCGTAACGCGAGTTTGATTTGACAATGCATGGACTCGTTAGTCCAGCAAAAATATAACTCCATAAGTCCAGCCTAGTTCGGCAAGGGTGGAAACTGGACTTTAGCAGTCAGTTAATTCCCGACCCGTGAAGATTCCGGGGTAGAATAGGTCTTCAGCAACCCATGCTTGCCGTAAAAGGTGACTATGCTTGTCGTAAAAGGCGACTGACGGGATCGGGTGGTCAGGCTCGCTGACTTGGTTGATGCATGTCATCGATCCCAATTGCGTGGATCGATGCTCATGATATCAATCACTGGATTGTCTGGTCCAGACTCGATTATTTACAGACCGCCGTCATATAGCTGGAATATTGCTGAGTGCGGCGTTAAACAACAAACCAACCAACCAACCAAGTTAATTTCCTTGCCTCGGGAAGATGAAACCTTACATACAATTGATACTGTGGCGGTACACTGAGACATCTAACGTCAAATCAGTCGGGAGTGACTATCAACATATTTGGGTTATGACGTCACATTGAAGGGGTTAGACTGCCCTAGTCGTTCAAGGCGGATAACATCGTGCTGGGTTGTGTTCCGTAGCCGCACCAGGATCTACTGATCAGGGGTTTGTCCTGGTGTGGCCCTTGGTATTTCAGCACCACCCGTGCACGTGGGCTTCACCAAGATGGTAATGTCTACGAACTTCACCACACGACGTAATATAACTGAAGTAAAGTTCAAATTGGCGTGACAGTTAACCTACTCACTCACACCGCACTCAAGTGTTGGTAGGCGGTGAGTTAGCCTAGCTTGTGGTTAATGTGTTGTCCCGTCACGCCGAGGACCCGGGCAGCGGTGATATGGCTGCAGGGTTAGACAAGGCAATGTCACCTTCTTAGTAATTGTATACCCATACTTTAATCAGTACTTCGCCAATCCAAAATGAGTTGGGTGATCAAGTTAAGCCTTCAATCCGTTTCCATGGTAAACCCATTTGTTTTTCAGGTCACTTGAAAGCCGACTAGTGCCCGTGACAGACCCCGACGTGGTCGTCATGGTAACAAACTCTAACGTCAAGCACGAACTGAATGGGTCAGAGTACCCCACGCGCCGACGACAGTGTCAAACAGCGTCCATGACGATGGGCAAGAAAAGTCTCAGAGAAGCCGCCGACTTAACATCAGACCAGTTGGCAGGTAGGTGGTAGTCACGTGACAGAACGAATGTCAGTAACTCAGGCACACTACAAACCCGAGAAGCGAAACTACGTCATCAAGCGTCCTGAAAATGCTGTTCTCTTTCTCGCTGACTGAAGCCAGCGTTTGCCCTGCACTCGAAGGTGGGAGCGGGCAGCTGGTGAAGGGATGGGAGGGACTGTATGTACGTTTGATCACCAGTCCTTCTCGTCTCACATACTCTTGTATGACATCCCTAGTAATTGGAATACTCCTTTAGCAGATCGACAATAACCGATACATTTCGGCATCAGTACAAAACAAATCGATTTTATTAGGTGAAACACGATCTTCTGTAGTGTTCTTCAGCAGGCGACAGCGGAAAGATCCAAGTGTGCGCACACTTCCTTCTCTACAAGTCAACTCCATTCTGACCAGACTCTTCATTAAATGCTATAATTGGTCAATGCTGAACAGCAGCGAAATTACACGGCCTTTACAGGTGAAATGTAAATATTATACATACCAATAATCACACATTCTACCCAAGCAAAAACCATGCTTGCCGTAAAACGCGACTATGCTTGTCGTAAAAGGCGACTAACGAGATCGGGTGGCCAGGCTCGCTGACTTGGTTGATGCATGTCATCGATCCCAATTGCGTGGATCGATGCTCATGATATCAATCACTGGATTGTCTGGTCCAGACTCGATTATTTACAGGGACCAGACAATCCAGTGATTGATATCATGAGCATCGATCCACACAATTGGTATATGATGACATGCATCAACCAAGCCAGCGGGTGTCGAGCATACATGGAGACACATATGGGCATGCGCGTTTGGAATTATTTGCACAATGTGTCTCCAAGAATAAGAAATTTTATACAGTATGACGTCGATCATAACAGGCCTAGCACCTGCTACAAGATGCACTGTTAAATTGTTCAATATGTCTGTCTGCAGATTTCCAGGATAAACTGGACGGCGAGACGTTCCGGAGAATACGTCACGTGATCACAGAGATTCAGAGAACAGAAGAGGCCGCTGATGTGTTGGAGAATGGAGATTACAAGAAGTTTGGTCAGCTTATGGTAGCGAGCCATAACTCATTAAGGTACGCCTTGTAATGATGTCCATATTGACCAATGACCAGTAGGGTGGGCCGTAGCCTCGTGGTCAAACTGTTGCCGGTCGTGTAGGCGTTCGAGTCCTGATTAAAGCATAGTCTATGCAAAATATATAATTTTGATGGAAACAAATGACTCTATTCAATTGAAAAGGAGCCCCATTGAGATCGGAGATTGAGAACCTGTTGAAAATCTAGACTTGCTTTTTGGGGGGAATTTTGCATTACAGAAAGGGCTGGGCGAAGGGGGAAATAATATGGTTCAGGGACGGTAAGACAGACAGGCGCCACGTTCTTGCAGTCTGTTCTTGATACACGTTAAAATAATGGACCGGCTTCGCTCATGTATTAACAATCACATGACTAGCACATGGTAAATATAGTAACATTGGAAAAATGAACAAATATAGTATTTCGATACATATATTTTAAACCTCCAGACTGCCGTGGGTCAAAGTGATAACGCGCTTCTCCGTCCTAGTCTTGGGCCAGTATCTCTTGTGGTACTGGTCAGAGAGAGTTGGCAAAACAAATTAAGATGTTAACATCTTATCTGTAATTCTGGCTACGCCCATCGTCCCACGTACATTGCGACGGTGGCACACAGCAACTGATGAAATCACACGTCCCACGTACATTGCGACGGTGTCATACAAGCAAACAGTCAGGTGTTCTTTCTTATACCAAACTTCACCCGTACATACCTTTATCATTAATGGCCGTGAAGATCCGGGATAGAATAGGTCTTCAGCAACCAATGTTTGCAATAAAAGGCGGCTATGCTTGGCGTAAGAGGCGACAAACGGGATCGGTGGTCAGGCTCACTGGCTTGGTTGATGCATGTCATCGGTCCCAATTGCGTGGATCGATGCTCATGATGTCAATCCGTTAATTGTCTGGTCCAGACCGCCGTTATATAGCTGGAATATTGCTGAGTGTGGCGTAAAACAAACAAACAAATTTATCATGTCTCAGTCAAATTTAAATATATAATTTTGTCGAGATAGCGTGACTAGTTTACCGAAACAACTTTTTCGCCATTTTTTAATCAGAAAATAAGATTTGTAGTAGCTAGGATAGGTATAAGTACGGACGATAGTCCGTCAGACATCACACGGTGACCGACTACTACAGGTTTATTAACTCAGGTCAAGTGATACATTGTCTGGGTTGGTCACGGTTGGTTACAGTGGAACCTCTGCTTAAGGGACATTCACACGGTACAACTAGTTGTATACAATTTGTTGCACCGTGTGAATGGACTCCTGGGCTCAATAGGTCTCACAGGTGCTCAATGGGATTTAAATCGGGACTAAGGACAGGCCACTGCATGGTTCTGATGCCATTCTGCTGGAGGAAGTCTCTTGTTGCTCTCGCAGTGTGGGCATGGGCGTTATCATGCTGAAACTCGTGGTTGCGACAACGTGCCAAATGAGGTATGGCGTGTGGTTTCAAGCATTGATCAATGTCCTGAGCTGCTGTGACACCATTGCCTCTCCCTGGACCGATGTTCTGGAAGACCACAGGGCCGACTCTCTGTGCAAGACCAATTTCACCCCACACCATGATGCTCGGACCACCCCACGAGTCTCTCTCAACAACACCAGCATCCGAATAACGTTCCCCACGGTGTCGCCAGACTCTCTCTGCCCATCTGCTGTTGAGATACAGTAACGGCTCTCGTCTGAGAAGAGGGCTCTTCTCCACTGCTTGTTACGCCAATGCTGGTGCTCTGTTGCCCACTGAAGACGGTCCCGGCGATGACGTGGTGTCAGAATGGGTCCTCGGTGTGGCCTGTGACAGTGTCTGCTCGTCAACCGTCGACGCACGGTGTCCGCACTAAGTGTCTCTGGTGTGTCCCCATGGTCTGTCGAGCAGTTTCCGCAGCAGTGACAAAGCGATCTTGATGATGCTCTCGCACAATCTGACGATCCTGACGTCGGGTGGTGACTTTTGGTCTTCCACTACGTGGTCGGTCATCTGTAGTGTTGGTGGTCTGGTACCGTTGCTGGAGCCTGTATATGGTCCTTACGTGGACTTGAAATGGATTGGCTGCTTGCCGGGCGGTTTGTCCAGCTTGCAATCGTCCAAGGGCTTGGTGTCGCTGATTTCTTGTCAATCTTGGCACGTGGTAGCACAGTAACGAATAAATGTTATCCGATCTGGGTGGATTTTTATAGGACAAGAAATGGGGGAACGCATGTGCATTTTAATTTGCACGGAACTCACGTGCATCGGGTTACCATGGCCGTTACTGTGATGCGTTTGGGCGAACGGTTTCATTGTCATATGCTTTGTTTTTTTATCATCAAATTTCAGTTTTCCGGACAAAGTAATGTTAAATTTTAGTATCTTTGACAAAAATAACCCAGATATTTAAATGTTAACTTTTCATGAAATGTTTCTTGGGGTGACGTTTCTTTTGCGGTTCAGTATATATTCATATAAAAATCACACCCCTCCATACATATATGTAAAGAGGTTGTTTTCTGTACGAATATATCATACTATACACGCTATCATCGAGTTCCTGTGTCCCAGGCTGTATTCAGCAATGTAACACGCCTTTATTCGCCGGCTCAAAATGGTAATAACTTTGTCACAAAGCGACACTCTACGATGGAGGAAGACTTCTCGGAAATAAAACCTGGATGTGTCACGTGATTTGGGGAAGTGACATTTCCCGACATGTGCGATACGAGATACTGTTGTGAGTTGGGGGGGGGGGAACATCACCACGGTGAAATAGCGTTTGCAGGGCTGTTGTAAGGGAAATACTTAGTGCACCGATACGGAAACAATACCCCTTCACGTGGCAAAACTCGCCGGTATGAAATATCTTTGAAAAGACGTAATCATGTGCCTTGGTTCAGGAAAGGCCAGGTCATTTGTTTTTTGAGGAAATGACAGTTCTGATTAAACCAATTACATTACGCGTAAAAGTGAACATAAAATATGAAAGTCCAAAGACACACCCAACCCCCTCTGAACACACACAAACACGTACACACCAATAAAAGAAAAGTCTCTTTGTCCGACTTCTCTTTTGCTCAGAAAACTAGCTTTTATAATTTACGTAACGCATACTTGTACACTCATGATCAATGAAATCTGATTTGAATTCTCCACACAGGGACGACTACGAGGTGTCATGTTCCGAGGTGGACCAGCTGGTAGAAGCAGCCATGGAGGTAGAGGGCGTGTTCGGTTCTCGCATGACAGGCGGTGGATTCGGAGGGTGCACCGTGACACTGTTGAAAAGAGACGCTGTCACCAGGTGTATACAAAATATTGAGGTAAATACACAGATTGGGTCGCACCAGTTCGTTAATCCGTCAATGTTTAACACCACAGCCAGTGATTCCCATCACGGCGGCTCCTACAGTCCAGCCCAGTTCAGGCAGTGACAGCATCATCCATAGCATTGATGCTATGACATAGTCAGCTAAGTCGCAGCGTCCGATTATCGACCCCAGTTTTAATCGGATCTTACATAAGCTACTGGGGACGAATTATGTCACCCCCAAGGTTCCATAGATGACAAGATGTTCAGTTGTAGAGAAATAAATCAAGTAGTGCTTTACAATTATTAAGAACCCTCTGACTCATATTCTGCACTTTTGTGTCCAAGCAAGGAAGCAGCTATAGAGATCTTTGTGTCAAGTTACGGAGAGGATTCTCTCCCGTTTTCACAATAGTGTGTACAGCGGCCTAAAACTTTACTCATTACCCCGTGGTCCCGTGAAGATCCGGGTTAGTACTTGTCTTCAGCAACCCATGCTTGTCAAAAGAGGCGATTAACGGGATCGGGTAGTCATGCTCGCTGACTTAGTTGATACATAATGTCAATCACTTGATTGTCTGGTCGACACAGACCGCTGTCAAATGAAATATTGCTGAGTGTGGCGTTAAACAACAGACAAACATACAAAACATTTCCCAGTATTAAGAGAAATATATTATACGAGTTTTGTTGTTTCAGAACCGCTACAAAGGTACACCGACGTTCTACGTATGCCCGGCGTCTGACGGCGCGCGACCACTCCATCTATGACGAGTGGTCAGATGGCAACTGTAAACACTAGAAAACCAGGGCCCAGCCCGCCACACGGAGCATAGCCTAGAGTTAATATATAGTGACATGATTGCAGGGGAACTGTCAGCTGACAAATACTCAAATGGAGTAAATGGTTTGTCTCAGAAATAATGTACTCATGCTTGTTTTGGTGTTTGTGTGATAGAGGAGAGGGGAAGGTGTATATCCTGAAGTCAGTCGTTTCAAGAGATACTGTCGTGGTTTTATACGATATCAAATTTGATTTTTCTTTTGATATATCCGAATTTATTCTCAGCTACACATGCAAGTAAAAGGCTTGCAAATACAAATTGCAATTTCTCTGTCGGTGGTATATAAAAACTGATGCGTGCACTTTTGAGTATTTAACTTTATATGCAGGATTGATTTTGCTGATGGAAGTGGCTTCAGCAGCAAGTTTATTATTCGTGTTCAAGTCTCCTGCAGACTAGAAACAAAGGCTTGACATGCCACGGAGAGTTGCGGCCATCTATAGCGTTCCCGGTGTAGCATGTCATAGACAAAAGGTCAACGCCTTATGTTTGAATTGATTGGTTTCAAGTTCCAAGGTCGGCTAATGTGTGAACGAAGCACATTCGTCCTAGTAACAGTGTTTGAAATGAAGAAAAAAATGCTAAATTTCAGAAGCTGCGGGTCCTGACAAAACTCTTCATCCCCTCAGTATTTGAGTCAAAGTTGAATGAAACATAATATGCTTTGAATTTAAAATAAACAATGGAAATGAACCTGAAAATTTATGTTACTTGATACATTAAAGATTGTACAAAATGGCAGTGATTACTCAATGCATCGCGCATCTGCATGTTACAAAACGTGCTGTTACCGTCAAACAGCCACGAACGTTATCCATCAATAATCACCCATTTTTTCTGAAAAGTTATTTCCCTAAAGTTCGTTGTTTCAGCAACATACCTTCAGTTGATTGTTTATTTCGGAGGCACGATGCCTTCCACATATAGCCACGTGCAGATTTGTCCTGACATTAGAGTATACATGCTAATGCGGTACCTACAACTACACAGCAAGGAGCGTTCAGGACTTGTTTGTACATTCTTTCATGAAAAACGTGGGGTAGCCTAGTGGTTATAGCGTTCGCTCACCACGCCGAAGACCCGGGTTCGATTCCCGACATGGGTACAATGTGTGAAGCCCATTTCTGGTGTCCCCCCGCCTTGATATTGCTGGAATATTGCTAAAGGCAGCGTAAAACCGTACTCACTCACTCACTCACGAAAAATGAATATTTTATTTTAAACTGCAGCTTAATGTAATAAATAAATCGACACGCAGATTTATATTGGAATTAGGCCGTACACGAGATCCATCTGCCTGGCTTACCATCTTCCCGAGGCAAGGGAGTTAACTGACTTTAAAAGTCCAGTTTCCACGTGGAAACTGGACTTTTAAAGTCAGTTTACTCTCTTGCCTCGGGAAGATGCTGGCTTACAGGCAAGCGCATATTCCGAGCATTGCCTATAAATGTAGTTTAGATTTATGTGGGAAGCACGGGCTTTACTTCAGCAATGAGTGCACACCAAGTTCCTTGTAAATATCGCCGTGTTGTCCTGAGTAAACACTCACTTGCAGTTCTGTCAGTATTATTAATTTGTCATACTTATCATGACCATAAATCGATCACCACAGCTACCATTTATATTGTCTTAGTACAAATGACATGTCTGTGCCAGTCTCCGTGATTTGGTCTAGGTGCACACGGGTATTATTCCTGTAGACTTTCTAGAAGGGGTTCCGTAACAACGACTGATTGTATAAACGACAGTATCTCTTCAACGCTGACATTTTTTACCAGGCGATAGAGGACGATATCTCAACATGGAAACAGAAGGCAGCTATTTTGTCCGCACTAACATGCACAATGGGTGGTGACGAGTTGGGCAGTTGTGACACACAGCTATACGTATATATATAGAGAAAGATTTATTCCAATGGTGATGCATTAAATGCATATTTTACTGACTTGTTACTGAGCAGGTTATGGTGTTAATAAACTACGTGTAATAGTTGCAAGGTTGTTGTTTCGTTGATATATGAGTAATTAATGCAGTTTACTGCCGCATGGCATCATAGGACGCTGGTGTACATCCATACGTGAAGATCGCCATTTCCCTGCACCTGTCCACAAGCAGACAGGCAGGTACTTGTTGCAAAAGCCCGGTCGCGTCTAGGAGAAGTCCAGCGTGCCAGTGTCGCCGTCTACGACCAAGTTATACATCCTTCAGGTCGTCCTTGCATACAATCCCTGGGACATTATGTCACTTCTCAGGGACGTGCTTTCTGAGTACATGTTCTTAATATATTTTCCCAAAATATGATTCAACCCCTTACACATCGCATGTCCTTTCGCTAATAATTGTCACCTCGCTACCACTTTGGGCACTGGGGCCTAATGAACAGTAAACAATAGCTTTGAAGCTATACTTGGAATGTTATGAATTGATGTTGGCAATGTGTTACAATATATGTCTAAATAATTCAAACTGGCCCCCAGCAAAATCTGCTGGTCGTGCGAGGAGACGGTACCAACAAACAAAAGATTCCAACAGGTACACATTCCCTACGTTTTGGAAGCAATAGGTGAGAGCGTGTTCGGGTGGTCAGACTCGCTGACTTGGTTGATGCATGTCATCGATGCCAATTGCGTGGATCGATGCTCATGATGTCAATCAAAAAACTGGATTGTCTGGTCCAGACTCAATTATTTTCCAGACCGCCATCATATAGCTGGAATATTGCTGAGTGCGGTGTTAAACGATCAACACACACACACAAAAGCATGTAATTTGTCAGAAAGTTTACCTCAAAAATGAGAGGGAGACTGGCTGTCAACCATCTTTTGGTACGTGGGATTCGGGGGTATATTTACAGGGTATTCGGGATTCAGCAGTTTGGTAAGCGGGGCGCAAAAATAATCGTACTAGATAACTAGATAATTACATACGTAACTCATTCCTTTATATATTTTACATATCGTTTCAGTAATTAACTTCAAATCGCACGGAAAGCCGCATTACGCAACGACATTCTGCGCGACACGTTTCATTCCGAGATGTATAGAAGTATTTCTAAATACACACAAACAGTATAGTAAGACCATAATAATATTCAAACCTTGTGGGGACTCCCAAGAAACCTTTGCTTGTCGTTATGGGTGGGATGGTCAGGTTCGGTGAATAGGATGATAGCGTGACATCGAACCTCAACGGCATGGATCGTTGCTCACAGTGTCAATCACTGGTTGGCCTGGCCAAGTCTCGATATGTACGCTGTATAGAAGTAAAGACATGTAGCTGAATAGAAAATATATGCTGGATATAAAATATCAACTTTGGTATAGCTGGTATTTCAGTGAAGAAATAGTGATACTATAAGAGTCTCTTGCATATTTAATAAGCCAGAATATATGTACATCACCCATTTCGGTTGTATAAAACCCGAATATTTATTACCTTAACATTCCATTAGCAATTCCTGTATTCTGCCGATAGTTATACGAAAGCGTCCTTTTAGTGTACTGTATGTTTGTACTGTTATTTCGAAATAATTCGTTTGAGTATCTTTATCAAATATTTTTGAGAAATTATTTTGTTGCAAATATAATTAAACGAACAAAGAGATTTGCCGCCGTGCTGAGGCATCGCATCAAATTGTTTTCTTGAAATGTAGTGTTAGATCAAGAGGAAACATTGCGGATTGAAACATTTTGTATTTTGTGTTTACCACACTTGGTAATGCTTTGTGTCATGTGTTACCGCAATATGCAATGACCGTCTGGTATCAATAAGCTGGAAGCAAAATACACGAAGAATGAATTCGTCGTCATTAATGTATTCAGGGGTATACTGTTTAAAATCTTCGAACTGTGGACCTAGGACAGCATTCGTTTCTACTGTTAATGTTATTGCGATGTTAAAGATGACATTCCTGGTGCCCCGTCAAATTGTTGTTCTTTCACTCGAATATACAAAATATCCAGATGTTCCAAGATAGTGTCTACCACGGGTTTGTAATGGCACAAAATAGCAAGGTATAGCGGTCACATCAGTGCGAAATAAAAGGATATATAGTACAATCACGGACCTATATCGTCAGTGATCTTGCTAAGTTTTGGGTTATATCTTCAATTTGTCTTTGATTAACTTTGAATGTAAACGGGTAATGTCTACTGTCTAATATCATAGAGATGCCTGGTTTATCACATGACAATCTGACACGAGTTGTCTCCCTTCTCTGGGGATGACAGGCGCTAATTACAAAGAATTGTGAGCATCCTGACCTGGGGCACAGTGACGTTTGGGAAGAAGCAAGCGAGGGATTGCCTTTTCGGACTGCAGTTGAAATAATCCACAACGATACAGTTCTGTTAAAACCATACTTTGGGCCTGGTTCAAGCCATTCCACCCCATGTTTGAGACACCAGGCCACAATAAATACAATGTGTCTGGTGGTTAAGGTAAAATGGGGTTAAACGTGGAGTTCAAGATAACTGCACTTGTATAACGACGTGCATGCACGCATGTGGCTGCTTGTACTGGTCGGGGATGATGCCGTTTTTCATAACGCAAGCCCACTGAGATACCCTGTCTGCCCTGTCTGTCGGAGTGGTGTAACAAGTACCATCTTTTAACGTCTGCGGCCGGGATCGAACTCCAGACCTTCCGCTCTCGGGGCAGATGCTCTACCACTAGACCACAGAGGCAGTCTGGAATGAGCAAGTACTTGGAACAGTATTTCACTCAACAGGTCAGGTTGATGTTGGAGAAAAAGCTGAAGGAGATGCAGAGCTTGGATTTAAATCAGGTGTGGTGTTTACAAACCCCAAAACATAATTCACTGGGATTCGATTCCAGTCATAGATTTCTGACACACATAAGATACAACTATCGACTACTCCTGCCCAGGGTGTCTAACTACTGATCAAAGTAATGAAATCCTGCAAGTGTCAACACCGTGATCACATAATACAGCCTGAATAAACCCTTCAACATACAGATGAACCATAGCCAGCATACAGTAAATACAAACGTATATAAATTGGCTGAAATTTCTTTATTATTACTCATGATAAATCATCATGATAGTTACGCACAGTAGATGCAATGGCTCATTCTGTGCACAGAAATTCTTACATATATTACATGAGCGGCGGCATCATGTACGCCGGGGTTCAATGATTCAATGAATATATATGCATGGAAAACAAACAAATGACCATCACCCAAACTTCCGTAGTTCCACTGAAATATTAATCTTATTGTTTCCGTGGAAACAGCTGCTGAGGTGATTGCCATGGTTACTATCACATGACTACAAGCTTCCACAATGTCTTTGCAGAACCCTTTTAGAATGGTTGCCATGGCAACATCACATGATAAAATTAACATGCATAATCATTCAGACCTTGTGGCTTGGAATGGAACAGAGCATGGAAGGATTAAAATAGGTTTCTTCTTGTTCCGTTCACATAAGCTAATATTGCATAATTTAATTTTTTGTGACAAAAATATTGCAGCTACTATTTAAGTGGCTATTTACAATTTTCACAGTTTGACTTGTACAGCCACAAGTGTTTTTCCCACGTCATTTCCATGACTAGTACAATAAAAGTTAAAACAAGGCTTTGTACAAGTGGTCTGAAATGTAACAGGAACTAAGATTACCTATCCCACAGACCCCGATATGTCAAGAAAAATCCCATAAAAGAATAACATCTTAAACATGTCTGAATGTTTAACACACATCCCTGAAACTCTTTGGTAGTCATCCTATTTTTTTATATAACAATACTAACGCACACAGTTTGTAATTATACTTGTGGATTCAGAGACATGTGTGGAACAAACAGATGTTAAAAACATAACAGTTAAACTTAAACTAGCAAGTTATCATCATCACTTTGCCATTTCTCCTTAGAAGTACAATATTTACTTGGTGCCATGGTTGATAGAAATCCATAACAGCATCAATAAATGCCCAAGGGGTAGATCACAACTACAAAATGAAGAAATGTCTAAAATATTTCTTCGGGTCTCATTTATATATAACAGCAGAAAAACAAACTAAAAGCAGGCTTTAGCTTAATAGAAACCCTCCAAAGATTGACAGAAGTTACTATGTCGCAAGCTAACATGTGGTGAGTTTAGTTCTTGCGCTTTAATGGGCCCCAAGCGTGACTGGATTTGGGCGCCACCACAGCACCGAATGCAGGAAACTCCTCGGTACTGGCAGTGTCCGGAGTCTTGTCCCACGGAGCATCCTTCACAACAAAGCCCCGCTGATCCGGCGGCCCCCCGCGGTTGTCCCCATCCTGCTTGCTGGGAGGACGCTGAAGCTGCTTGATGTATTCCTGGTCAATGACATCTTGAAGCTGGAACAACCAGGTTGCACGAAATCAGAAATATTTCTACAGTCAAGCCAGAAACTGGGATTATCTTACTGACGGAAAGGGAATTAATGTAATCAGGACTCACGATAGAGCCTGTCTATGTTACCATGGATAAAAAATAAAAAAATAAAATAATTATAATAATAATAATAATAATAATTGCTGTATTTCTATACCACACGGTTGCAGCATGCTCTAAGGACACACAAAATACAGAACTGGCGATAGCAGTTTTCACTGAAAGAGCTTATAACCAAAGTTGGCTGTTTGGCCTGTACTGACACCACTTGTTGGACTGTCGCATCGGACTCAGTGCACACCTTAGTTACCACACTGAGCATCTGGCCAGAGTATTATTGATTTACTTGTCACTCACCAATTCACCAAGACAAAATATGTGAACTCGTATTGACAAATTAGTTATGTGCATCGACTGTTGGGTGTTTGGGATCTTATGAACAGGATGCTTCTGTACAGCACCTTGAAACCTTTTCAGTACAATGTACTTGTAATCCATGATTCTCATTTGTGCATATATATGTACATATGCCAGGACAAAAACAAATAAAGAAATGTAAACAGCTGCAATTACAGGAGACCATTTAAAAAGGAACAAGAAAG